ACAAAAAGAAATTCAACAAAATGACGTAAGAGTAGAACTCGTGGCGGTTTCATTAGATAGTACCGCACAAAATATAGAAAAGAAATATGTTTCAATTTGTTGCAGTTACGCAAGGTAGCGCAGTACGGTGGTGATGAAAAATATGAAAGAAAGGATAGGAATGGTGGAAAAGTGCAGTAATATCGTCATGCATGGCTGCTCATGAAAGCGGGGCAATAAAACTCGCTTCTGAAAGTGGTGCGCACATTTTTTTTTCGTTCTCATTTCCTGCCCCCCCCCTTTTTTTTTTGCCTTACGTGCCCCTTCTTTCGTTCTGTCGCACCAACGCTATGCCGAGTATGCGATTTCGCAAACTATTAGGTATGCGCTTAAACACCATAATATTTTTAACGCTCGTTGAATGTCACGCGTTTCTACAGTGGATATTGAGAATGTCGCAATATTCTAGTCCCGTCGCATCTTCGTGAACTACTTAGGCGACAGTTTTCCATCTAAAAAACAACAAGGTCGTCGCGAATAAATGTCGTTGCCGTCAAAACGTATACACATATACCGAGTAAATGTCAGGTATGCGTGATTGCTTCTACGCACTAAGAATTTGTCTCCGAAAAAAAAAAGAGAAAAGGAACTATCACAAGTTGTTTCATGTATTCGGGTAAGCCAACTCGAAGGCAAGGGCTGTAACTAGCAAGGACGAAGATACAGCATGATGGCCAGAACAAGAAGTGGCATCGGTTTATTCAGTCACTGATTATATAGGCGCACGATAGCGCGCCGTGAGTATCTGCGCATGTCCGATGCGCAGTCGTGATGCAGTAGCCTTGCCGGATACATCCTTTCCGTTAACAACGAGATCACATACCCACCGAAGCAGTGGTAAGTACATGGCATTTCAAAAAATGATATCATACACTTGGTTAAAGTCCTTGTCATAATGAAGACGCTGTGGTGGCTTCACGGTTCGAGTCGACCTTCTCAAAGCTGGCGTCGGTGGCGAAGTTGACTGACGCACCACAGGTGGCGAAGGGTCGCCCGACGTCGGAACTTCGCGACGTCGGCCATTGGCTGGCGAGGCTTAAGTTGCCACTGTCGGATGGCCACCAACGTTGTTGTCTGCTGAGCTGGTATCAATGTCGTCGTCGCTTTCCTCGATGAACCGTTTGCCAGTTTGAAGTAGGTGACGACGGTTGCGCCTTAACAGCTTCTGGTCCTCCGTTTTGACAAGGTATACAGGACCTTGGATATGGCGAACCCACCACCTAAGCTTTCCGGGACCATGCAGCGTCTCTGAGCCTCACGACGTCACCCTTCTGCAGAGGAGGCAAAGGTCTTCCCCCTTGGGCCTGGCTGTGCTTTTTGACGTCGGTTGCGGTCACCGTACTGAAGTCCGGGAGGTTGGCGCGAAGGCGCCTTCCTTGGAGTAGTTCACCAGGGGATCGCCCGTCCTCCCGTGGGGTAGAGCGGTAGGCCAGCAGGCCCAGCCAGAAGTCGTCGCCCGAATCTGCAGTTTTTTTTTAAGATGCGCTTCACAACCTGCACACATTTTTCCGCAAGCCCGTTTGACTGCGGATAATGGGGGCTTGAATGAGGGCTTGAACAAGCGGCTGTAACAGCAATGTCACACACCACGAAGGACGAAATTGGACTATGACTGAGTGTGCGCGCGTGTGCTGCCTAATGTGTTGTGCTTGTCTCTCTTCCCTCTCTCCTCTCTATCTTTCATCTCCTCCTCCCATGCGCAGGGTAGCAAACCGGCTGCCTATAGACTGGTTAACCTACCTGCTGTTCTTTTCCTCCTATTTTCCTTCCTTCTTATGTAAAACGCGAGAGAGCGAATACTGGAAGCTGCGTCGGTTCTTGATAGTGCATTTGCTATTGAAACGCTATTGTAAATATATGAACCGTAGTGGGAGCCAATAATAAACGTGCATGACTCGAATAAGTATACAAAACAGGGGCGGCCTTTGAAGGTGGCCCTGTCATTGAGGCATTCTCGACGCATTCGCGATTGCTTTAACCGTGAACTCCTATACGAGTGAAGCTATGCAGGCGCGAAACGCGCAGACAGAAAACGCGCCTTTTTTTTTCGCGTCGCCCTTCATCGACTTGTTCGGAGGCGTCAAGGGCTGGTTCGGCGACTCTCGATTAGCGAGATCGATAACGGGTATATGCAAAACCGGCTGTCTTTTTCCTGCTATTTCTCTTGGGTTGCCCTTTGAGCATTGTCTGAGAGAAACCATGAATATTAAAACATTGACGCAAAGAGAGAAAGGGGTATACAAAGCCTTTGCCGCATTTGTAAGAATCGCTACTGCCTGTGTGTCTGCGTCGGCACATGCAAAGCTTGTAGCGTGGCATTATAACGGCTTCCCTTCACCGTGCGTGCCATCTGAAAGAACAGTCTGTGGCCTTCACCATAGTCATTGGAATCATTATTCTGCTTATGTGAAGTCGTGCCGTGAGTTGCCTTAACAAGAACGCTCCGAAGCGTGGCCTGGAGTACTTTGATGCCAGTCGCGAAGTGCTGGAAGTTGTTGCCGAGATAATACCTCGGTATGTTTAGAGAGTATGTCGGCATGCATATTATAGGTAACATCTCGGCAGCAGAACCCAAACCTACGTGGCGCTAGACTCTTCCATGACGCGCTGGGGAGCGTTCGTGTTGAGCTTGCTGACGAATGTACGCCGCAGAACATGCTGGTCGTGCACATTTGTGTCCACTTACGTCGGTCTTGCACTAGCGAATTGCAAGCGGTCCTGGAATGCTTCCTAAATGTTAGACTTCGCCGAGCGAAGTCATTGTCGACGGTGCATTGCTTCCTGTGGTACGAATCCTGTACGACCTCATAGATTGATCGCCGGTTTTCCACCTTTACATTTCATCTCCCTGATATACTATTTATCGCTCTTAATGGCATATGTATATTATGTGTTATCTCAGCTTAGTCGAGAGACCCTTAATGTAACGTAAAAGTGCACGCCAATGAGGGGACACGCGCTGAAATATATAAAGACGGCTCCCAGTGAGACAGTGGGTGTGTTTTTAAGAGCGAAGACTCTGAAACCACGAAGTAGAACGTCTGCCAGTTCACACACACAAAAAAGATTCTATCGCACCTGTTCACTTAGCCCAGCGAATGCCAAGCAACGCCCACCAACGGAGGCAGCCCGAGTAGTTGTCAACAGAGAGTCATTGATTGATGATGAGTCGTATATAAGTATCGGAACAATTCATCTTAAATGGCAACTCTAGTCACAATAGTGTCAGAGTCAGTGTTGCCCAAAACGGGAGTCAGGCACCGGCGCCATTTTCGTGACTCATGGGAGAAGCAGTGGATGATATCATGCATGGATTGATAAAATGAATGAAATGAAATAAAAAATGAACTGGAATATAAACGACGTATTCCGAGCGTGTGTCAATCGTTGTACCACTGCGCCACGCCCTTGCTTGAAAGCGAGGAAATCATCCTGTACACTCGTCGTGTCACGCGTCAAGTCAAAATGAAATTCCGCAAGGTAGGAGGTCGAACCGCACCAGGTATCACAGCATGCGAATCGAATTGTGCAATGAATGCGTGGTATTAAGCTTCTCAGCCGTGACAAAGCACTCGAAAATAATTCATCATCAGCTGTTGCATCAGCAAAGGGTGCTGCAACGCACGGGTGCGTGTTTTCTTACAGACACGTGCGTACATCGCCACTCCGCAAACAATAACAAGTGACTCGTGCCTTCAACAAAGAAAGGAGTGTTGTCCTAAGATCTGCGTGGTTGTGCGACTCAAGAGCGGGGCAGGTGAAAGAGAAGGCAATTCTTACGGAGACTCCGATAACGCTATCGCGTACCTCTCTTAAAGGTGATAGCTCCAATTTTCCATACCGCACTTGGCGGCACAAGTCTCCTATTCACAGTAAAATAAACGTTGAAGCATTCACAAATGCAGGTCATGGGTTCAAATACCGGCTGCGGCGGCTGCATTTCCGATGGAGGTGGGAATTTCGTAGGCCCGTGCGCTCAGATGTGGGTGCACGTTAAAGCAACCCCAGGTGGTAGAAATTACCGGAGCCCTCCACTACGGCGTCTCTCATAATCATATGGTGGTTTTGGTACGTTAAACCCCACATATATATCAATCAAAGCATTCACGACCAGCTTTTCTTCAGTTCCCCGCCGCTTAACAGTATAACGCCTCCCTCCCTCGATCGTTCATGCAACAGGCAGCGCATCCTTAAACAAGTCAGCACGTTTATTCAAATGAAGCTACAATACACGTCCGGCGCGTCGTCGGTCGCTTCGCTGCAGGAAACGCCTATACAATGCTGTCCCGCAAATCTCTCGAGTCCTCGACGATTCATTTACTTTGTCTTTCTTGTCCCACGCTCTCACTATTTCTCCACATCGCGGCGAGGAGGTTCTCACTGAACACGGCATGTCTTAAAAACTGTACAGCCGATGAGGTGGTACTGGAGCCACCAAGCTTGCAAGCTATGGCTATAAGCCGTTTTCCAGTGTGCCCCCCCCCCCCTTTCATTCTTCTTTCTTTTTTCTCTCTCTCCGTATGGTGGTGAGGAGGTATTGCACTGAGTGAGAAAGTATAAGTCGTTTTCCAGTGTGGTCCACCCTTTCGTTCTTCTTTCCTTTCTCTCTCTCCATATCGCGGCAAGGAGGTATTTCAGTGAGTGCGAAAGTTTGTAGCCGACTGAGCTTGCAAGCTATAGCTATAAGCCGTTTTCCAGTGTGGTCCCCCTTTCATTCTTCTTTCTTTTCTCTCTCTCCATATGGTGGCGAGGAGGTATTGCACTGAGTGAGAAAGTATAAGCCATTTTCCAGTGTGGTCCACCCTTCTATTCTTCTTTCCTTTTTCTCTCTCTCTATATGGTGGCGAGGAGGTATTTCAGGGAGCGCGAAAGTGTGTAGCCGACTGGCTACACGCTAGCCAAGCTGCTAGCCAGCTTGGCACTCAGTCTGCCCGTGCTGACACGGCAATCGACGCCTGCCAGCTTGCCTGTCCAGTACGCGAGAGCTGGCGAGCAGCAATAGACAACGCGTTATCAGCAACGCTGATCGTTTAATGGCCCCGGGCTGTTACCAAACTGCCGTATATAAGGGCGACCAGTAATCCGTCTAGGTCCGACCCCCTCACCACCCTCTCCACGTCGCCGCGAAAGCGTCTGCAGCGTGTCACTGCCACTCCGCGGCATATTTCTTTTTTTGATTGCTCTCATCCCGCCGTTCACACCTTCATCGTCGCCGTCATTTAGTCTGGAAAGAACGCACCGACTGGGACGATAGCCATGAGCTCCGCCGCAGCGGCTGCCAAGAGCGCGCTGCAATGTTCCGACACTGCCGAGGTCACCCAGGCACTGCTCAATGGATCTGTCGTGGACGACGGCCAACGCAGGCGGCATCATGTGAGTCAATAGGTCAAACTTCATTATACGAGAGGCGGATTGGATGCCATAATGCATGTCGCCCATTTATCTTCATTTGCCAAACAGGAAATTTGACCGGGCTTGTTGATATACAAGTCCGTGATGTCAAGTTGTTCCTCCACCCCCCCCCCCCTTTTTTTTTCTGTTCAGGCAGATTGGAACACAGCGCCACGGTCATTCCCGTTTTCGTTTCTTCCCTAGATACTTAAATTTTTGGAACGGTAACTCTTTATTTGTATACGTATGCAAGTTTATGGTCGACCAAACGAGTTTGTTCCCGAGTGGTTCGGTTTAGAAAGTCTGAAGAGATTGAAGCTTATCACAATAATAGCTCGGTGTCTTTCTTCAATTTCATGTTTTCATATTCGTCTTATTAGACAGGCTGTAGACGTCTGCCGATTTGGGGTATAGATGTTTAAAAAAGTCGACAACTCTCAATATTGTAGTATTCTGATTGCCAGTTGCATGTTCTCCTGTCCTATAGGAATTATATATATCTTTTTTCATTGGTGTGATAGTTCTCTCGCAAGTTCTGGATGAGGGCGTTCAGCTTGATCGACAGGCGCCGAAGCAGACAAATGGCGGAAAAAGATCTAAGGTGTCGATTTTCTTGTATGTCAACTGTCTGGTGTTTTCTTTTTTCTTTTTTATTTTTGTTATTACGCTGCATATACCGCTTCGTTCGGAAGGCTGGTCTCTTGCGTTTCCAGCTATAGCGTCCGTTATTGAATCACGAAGTGGACGTATGGTTGAACATAAAGCCGTTGTAACCTCGTGTCCTATTACGGCCCGCGAGACTCTCATAGATGTTCCTCAATCACGGCTGCACGTTGACTTCACGCAGTGAACAGCGACTGCGTACTTTACATTTTCGCGTCGAATAAGGATTTTGCATTGAAATCTCAGCTTACATTGTGACGTAGTCTTAGATGGTGATTTTCCTGACAGTTACTGCCCGACTTTGAGAGTTTTAACCGAGTGAGACATTCCCTGCACAACATGTCAAGTGTGTGTGTTTATATAGCTGTGTCTACATTTTAAGGACACGACTTATGAGATTGTCTTCTAAAGTATAACGTAGCCGCCTAAGTTTCAATGTTGCTGTGCTGCTTTCTTCGCGCTGACCACGCTGCCATAGCGCATCACAGAGGCCACGTAGAAATAAGCGTGTGGTTGAGCTCAGCCCCACCAGGTGTCGAAACAATCCTAACCACTCAGAATCTTCCGCTAAAATCAATCCATGTTCATTTATTTACCTTGACAGTTACTTGACACCCTTTTATAAGTAACTTTACACCCTGGTGTGCCGTGTTGAACCCCATAAAATTCTTAACAAGAACTGAAAGATGAATTTATATTTTGTTTTGTTTAGAACTTTTTATCAATATTCGGGAAGTCTCAAGGTACGTGCTCGACTGGGTACGAATTCGAAATAAACTACAAAGCAGAGCGCGAAAAAAAAAAAAAGACAGAACAAACGGAATCTCTTCGTCTTTCTTGTCGAGTCTTTGTATGCTCTTCTTTTGGTTAACCACAATGAACCAGCTCGCCTAGAAAAGCATTCTATTCGACAGGATTTGAAGAAGAACAGGAACGTCGCTATGTGCTCGGACCACTAAGAAAAATATTTTCAACTTTTCAACACGCATGCTCTCATAATAATAAAAGTTTTAGTTACTTATGTTCTTATATAGTTACTTATATTATATAGTTATAGTTACTTATATTGATAGAAAAAAAACTACTGCTTTAGCTCGCGACAAGGTGGCCCAAAAATAAAATGTGCTCTATAGAAAATTCCGGTTCTATATGCTTCGCGCTAAAAGCACTGCGACCTGTGCTACAGCGCAGCACGCACACGTGCAGTCGCGTCTCTTCTCCGCCATACCGAGATAGCTTTCTGAATATTCATGAGGCGGTGGTATGCGAACTTGGCCGTAACTACAACGCACCTAAAGCGTATGTGTATCTATCACACTAGTCGGAGATTCGCGAGAAAAAAGAAGGAAATTTCTCACGACCTTCTTCTTTCGTCGCAGCATGAGAACAGAAAAAAAATTTAAAAAGAAAAGAAACCTATCCAGGGGAAAAAAAAGAGAGAGAGACGTGAGGTCAGAACACGGACTGAGCATGCATAAAAACTTACGCTCGCTATAATATGAACAATGCAGCATTATATCTAGACGAAGTAGGTCAGCGAGCTGAGGACTTGTGTGCATGTATCCATCCATTTAGCATGCCGTGGGGTGGGCCACTAGATTTCGACATTCAAGCAAAAGAAAGAGCGATTGCGTCGCTTTTCGCTCGGCAGCGCACCAAGGGAGATGAAACGTGCGACTAATCCATGAGTGGAAGTTTTATTCTGCTTCTTGTTCATCTGCATGTGATCTTGAAGCAAGGTAATTATGCGAAAGAATCGTCGTATGACCAGGGTCGGGAAAACGGGGCGCGCCAGAAAAGTGAGGCAAACGTTACGTGTCGGTCTGTAAGTATATATGCTGGTTTCGGTCGCAAAGGAACGCGCCGGCGTACTTGTGTCCCCGACTGTATGCTGTAATACGCGCCGTCCTTTAGGGAACATGAACGGAAAGCTAAGTGAGTGAAACGTGGGATAAGCCGAAATGAAGTATGACGACTTCAAGTGGATTAGCAAACTGCCATTCGGTTGCGAAACGATGAAAAGACACCATATCATTCGATTGTACTATCATGGTGACGTGGTATGCGATACGCTTTCAGGAGAGTACCTAGCCAAAATGCGCGTTTAATGCCCAATGTATTTGACGGCTGTCAATGGACTAGTCCACCGGAAGAGCTATAGGTAGGGTGGGGGAGATGATGTGTTCCGTTTCCCTTACTGATGTTTCGGTGTTTGCACGGCGTTCTGATCTTAAAGGCCTCAGTATGAAAGGGTCGGGAAGGAGAGGAAGGGGAGATAGAAACGAGAAAAAAAGGAAGGCAGGCAGGTTAACCAGATGATAGTATCCGGTATGCTACCCTACGCTGGAGCCCCGCCGCGGTGGTCTAGTGGCTAAGGTACTCGGCTGCTGACCCGCAGGTCGCGGGATCGAATCCCGGCGGCGGCGGCTGCATTTCCGATGGAGGCGGAAATGTTGTAGGCCCGTGTGCTCAGATTTGGGTGCACGTTAAAGAACCCCAGGTGATCTAAATTTCCGGAGCCCTCCACTACGGCGCCTCTCATAATCAGAAGGTGGTTTTGGGACGTAAACCACACAAATCAATCAAATCAATTACCCTACACTGGAGTTGGGGAACAGGAAGGGGAGGTGCTGCAAAACTTCGCCCACCCCCCCTCCCCCAACCCACACTTTAATGAATAACCCTGTGTTTGCCTTTTACTGCTATGACAAAGAGCAGCTGATAGAACTGGTAAGGCAGGCATAAATTTTACGAGATAACATATAGAGCTATCTCAGACGTTATTGATGACTGAGTACAAGGAGTCGGCGTGATAAAAACTGTTTTATATTCTGAACAAACGCACACTAGTGATCTCATTCTTCGCGCGTGGTGATAACGAATGCGCAGAGAAGAAGGCTGCATGAGCACATACTCGTTAATGACGAGATTATCTCTCTTTAATGTAAAAGCGTAGCTGCGATAGCCCGCAGCCATGACAGAAAGTTATAAAAATAATTGCTTCTGCCGTTAGAAGATAGCAGCGCCCTCCAATAAAATCTGTCTCTGTCTTTTTAAAATTTTTTTTGCACTTTTCTTCAGAAGAGATGGAGTGTTGAACAGCCAGTTTTAGTATAGCGCTCCATTGTTCACAAAAAAAAAAAAATGAAGCAACGAATGAAATGATCCGCCGGAAAAACGCCCACATGTGGTAGCCAATGAAGATGTTTTACGAAAAGCGATACTTATTACATCGAGGGACAGACAATCAGAGAGGTAGAGATGATAAGTAAATTTCCGACATCACATAAAACTGTCTAGTGATGCCATAGAATGAGACCTCTTAAGGTCTCATAGAATGAGACCTGTGCCATGCAATGGGCTGAGGGTAGGCTGTTGCTAGTCGGAATAAGAAGTCAATATTTTCACAGATAGCCTGTGCTTTGGTAGGAACTAAATCCAAGCTATTACCGGTTTTAACTGACAAAAAGCCCCAACTGATTACATAGCATCGCTAAGGCTTACATGAAATCATGCAAGTTTCGTGCGCTGGGCTGTCCCTTGAGGACTAGAACTCGTCGCTCTCATTCATTCATTCATTCATTCATTCATTCATTCATTCATTCATTCATTCATTCATTCATTCATTCATTCATTCGTTAAGAGGGCATGTGACAAGCAACCTATATTCACAGTCATTATTATTCACAGCTTCGTTTATAGTGACTGCTATCGCAATTGAAAGCGATAGGGAATATCTGAATGAAAGCAAGTAATTTCACATTGTAAAACAAAACAATGACATTCGTGCACTGTGACGTGTGTCGCTTCTTAATAACAGTAACCATGCTCGTTTAGAACTTCATTCGTGATTATCATAACTTCCAGCTCTCCATCAGCGACGAGCAAAATTCGGTCATTGCCACACACCTTTCCGTATCAAGTCACTTAATGTTCCGGACTCACCCCATCTCACCTCATTCCTTCGTTCTAGACGCACCTTATCAAGCTACGCAAACACTGCCCATGTGTGTGGTCTGGTTAGCCGAGGAGCGTTGGCCTTAACATGACATGTTCATCCTTATCGCGACGTTATCGCTTTTCAACGCCTCGTGTGGGTCATATCGTGTTTACACACTGAGGAAGAGAGACGAGTAGCAGTACGTAATCAAGGTGTCATTTGGTTGTTTCAATGCCATCTTGAAAAAATAAAAAAAGATGGTAACGTGTGCTGAAAAAGAGATAAGCAAGCACACCCCGTCTAGGCACTCCGGATGTTCCACGGTTGCTTTCGCTTGGCCGATAACAGGCCAGAGATGATACTGCGTCCTCCTTTGCAT